CTCGACAGGAACCTCACATTTTGAGGCACGAAGCTGGGAGAGGCCAATAACACAAGGGCTGTCCTGGAGCCACGGCTCCTTGTGGCAATGGCTTTAAAATAGCTGTTTGGAAAGTGGAGCAGAGCAATTTGGTTTCATTTTGCAATTTCTTGGCATGCTGAAGGAGCTGCCTGCCCAGGTTTAGGCTGGTCCCACAGTGGTGGCAGAGCCCAAACCCGCGGCCGTCCCGGTGTGACCCCGGCCTGCCCGTGGCAGTGGGGCAGGGTGTGGAGCCCCGCGGGGTTTGGCAGAGCTGCTCTGAGGGAGCTGCTGGCACAAAGCTGCTGCTCCCTTTGGTTATCTCCGCGGATGAGCAGGAGGCATCTCCGGCCAGGCGCCCCAAGTGCTGCCCATACCCAGGTGCTGTGGTTGCTGGGTGGGCTGGGTTGGGTTGCCCGTGTGGCCGGGCAGCCTCGGCTGTAACCCAGGGGGGTTAATGCTTGGCAGAGTTTAAACTCTGAATTTCTGTATCTGGTGTGGGCAAGTGACTGTGTCCTTTGAGTCGTTTGGCCTGCTGGCAGTTGTAGTAAAGCTGTCCTCCTCAGACTGTCTGCACGTTTCCCACTCTCTTTTAACTGCTCATGATCTGGGAACAGTGCAAAGACCTTTCCATCGAGCTCCCCCGTCCCAGGGGCTGGCCTCGTCCTACTGAGCGACAGAGGAGCCAGTGTCCCCCCGAGCAGTGCCACCACTGGGTGCTGTGCCAGGTGGCCTGCGGGGCGAGGGCACGGATGGGGCAGCCCAGCTGGCCACGGAGGCACAGGACCCTCACAGCCTCCTTGCCCTGCTCGACTGTGCGCCAGCTCTGGATTAGTAATGGGCTATTTCTGGATTGCTCTCGTGAGTAATGGAATGAATTGTGCTGAGATTTTGGGTGGGGACAGTGCCTCTGCCCGCTGAGTCACCGCTCAGCATCACACCGGGCTCAGGAGCCACTGGGGCCCAGAACTATCCCAGGTCAGGGTGGACAACAGAGGCCGTGGGAAGGAGCTCGGGATGCAGCAACTCTGCTGAGTTTGGAGCATCTCCATCCCCGCCGCCGGGACGCGTGGGCAGGGAGCTGGCAGCGTGGGGGCTGGCTGTGGCACCGCCCCGTGCCACCCTGCTTGGTTTGGGTTTTGTTTCGGTGTCTGGCAGGCTGGGCACGGGCAGATCTCCATGTCTGTCTGGGAGTGGGGCTCTGCCTGCCCAGCACCCTGCGCTGCAGTCGTGTCTCCTCCCGTCTCGTGCGCTCCAGATAGCGGCGTGTCCCACACCACCTTTCTTCCTGTGATTGTCTTGGAGGAGCCAAGTTGCAAAGCAGCAAATCACATTTTGCTGTGGGCAAAGGAGCTTTCTGTCTAACAGACAGACTTTTTTTGCCTTTTTCTTTCCGTGCTGTAGAGATGATGGATGGAGGAAAGATTAGCCATCGGTCAGACGAGAAGGACAGTTTGCAGCAGGGGTGCTGTGTTTGTTTTGTCCCCAGGGATATGCTGGCTGGGGATACACTGTCCTCAAGAGCTTTCCCCTCTCAAGCAGGCAGGAGACAGCAGACTCCTCCAAGCCCTGTATCAGCCTTCATAACACAAACTTTGCACCTCCTCGGGATGAGCTCCTGGCCGGCTGCCCGTGCATGGGGCCGTGGGCATCCCTGGCCTAGCTGGGACAGGCAGGAGCTGGAGGTCACAAGGAGAGGGCACGGGAGCTGTGCCAGGGGTTTTCTCCTCCGTGCTCAGCCCCTGGCAGTAGGACCCTTTGGGCACTTAAAGTTTTTCATCAACTTCAGTGTTGCACAAATGTGCTCACCCTCGATGCAGACGTGTTGGTCTGCTGGGATGTGTGCTTAATGCTGAGCTCCTGGTTGAGGAGTGCTGGAATCTGCTGGACACGACCCTTTGTCCTCACTCTTCTCACCTTACAAATGCTGGCTTACTATTTTTATTAATGACTGTGTGGCACTTGACAGCCACAAACTGTTTCTGCTCTGGCTTGTGAGCCAAAGTGCTTGTGATCTCAAGATCTGTGGCTGTGGCAGGGTCTGGCCTGGATTTGGGTGAACCTTCTTTCTTCTGCCCCAACCACAGGGCTGGGCAGTTTGATTTGTGAGAGCTGGGGTAGTCCTGAGGACTTCCCCAGGGGCCCGTGTGGCACCCTGGGGAGGTTTACTCCAGGCAGGAGTTTCGGTGACCTGCTAAGTATGCAGATAGAGGAGCTCTCTCCAGCCTGCTTTTGAAATGCAAGTCAGCCGCTGACTCTCATTTCTTAATCCTTCACTTGCAGCTGCTTATGATGCAGCCTGACTTGAGTTTTTCTCTTTTCCTCCCTTTTCTCTGGGCACAGAGTACAGGTGTGAAGGCACCAGCCTTCCTTGGGGCTTGGTGTCAGTGCCCCAGTTAATTGCCAAGCTTGCAATGGCTGAGCTTTCCCAGGGTGATCCCAGCGTGATCTGCTCCCAGCACTTGCAGCTCAGTGTGCTAGCGAAGGTGTGTCCATCCTTCCTTCATGGTTATTTCCCCTGAACCTCCCCAAGGCTCCAATCCCAAACTGCCCCTTCCAGCCCTGCCGCCCCGGGGCGGGGTGTGCGGAGAGGGGCCAGGCCGGCTGCAGGACCTGGAGCCTCCTCGCCTTCCTGAGCAGCTTTCTGCTCGCCTGTGGTTTCCCCCAGCCCGCAGAGCAGCGTGTGGCTTCCCAGGGCTTACACCCCGAGCTGCCAGCGTGCACCTGGCCCGGGGCTCTGCAGGCACAGGGAGCTGGTGATGTGCCGATGGTGAGTGAGGAGGGGGTCGTGCTCTTTGGACTGAAGCATCTGGGAAGCCAGGGATGGGAAAGATATTTAAGGCTCTGGGTCAGGGAGGGATGTGAGCCCACCATGGCTGGTTTTCTCAGGCCTCATTCAGATGCCACGGCAGGCGTTCTGTGGCGTCGTCCTGGGCAATTCCCAGGCTCAGCTGGAATCTCCCTTTGAAGCCCAGGGATGCAAAGACTGAGTTTCACTTGCAGGACGGCATCCCTTGACTTGAGGCAGAAAGCAGCCGGATTTACTGCAGGGTTTAGTCCTGCTGAGCAGTGGTTGGCAGCTTCTCCCACTGCCAGTGCCAGCGTCGGCTCTCCACAGCTACGTGGTAAAGGCTCCTTTGTCAAAGGGGCTGGGACGGGGCCAGCCTGGTGCCGGGTGCCAGGCACACAGGTTGTGCTCGCCCAGACCGAGAGCCGGGCTCGGTGCATTCCAGCTGCTGATCGGATTGTTTAGGAGCCAGCGAACGTGCCCGGGTGAAAACCAGAGCACAGCTTCTGCCCTGAAGAATTTATAAGTGAATAAAAAAAATAAAACCAGTGGGTGTGTGTGACTCTGAGGTCATCAGAGAAGAAATTTTTGGGGGGTGGTGGTGCAGGCAGAAAGCCCAGTGTGGGAGGGCTGGGTGGCTGGGGCTGGAGCCTTGCTGCCCGGCCAGGTGGGTCAGGCAGAGGGTTCATTGTCTTGCACAAGGTAAGGCTCGTTGTCTTGCTTGGCACCCTCCCGGGCAGTTATTCGAAAGACTTTGGCCCCAGGAGGGGCTGTGAGCGTGGGCTCGCTCTGTCCCGCTCAGCCGCCCTTGTCCCCGCAGCGATGGCGGCCATCAGGAAGAAGCTGGTGATCGTGGGGGACGGGGCCTGCGGCAAGACGTGTCTGCTGATCGTGTTCAGCAAGGACCAGTTCCCCGAGGTGTACGTGCCCACCGTGTTTGAGAACTACATTGCCGACATAGAGGTGGACGGGAAGCAGGTAAGGGCCAGAACCCTTCCCATCCTGCCACTCCCGTGGTGCTGGGGTGGGGGGGCCTGTGCCAACCCCTGGTGCTGCCCCGTGGGTTGGTCCATGTGGC